CGGAAAAAAGTAATTAGAAAGTTTGACCACAATTTTATAAAAGACATTTGTAGAGATATACCTTTAAATTTATTATAATTCATAGTTCAAAAATATTCATAATTATAGCAATTAAGTCGAATAAAAAATATAAAAAAATAACAAGTAATGATAAAAGTACCTAATCGATTCTGACAATAATTATTAATCTAGATTTATAAATTGAAACGTTTGGCAACCATGCATATACCTTACACAAAAGTCAAAAATCTAAAGTTAGAATCACTAAAATTCGCAAGTTTTAACTCAAATTTCTCTGTTATATATGCGTAACCCGCTAATTTTTTGTTTGTTATTTCATATATACACTTGATACTATTTTCTAGTTCATTTTTTTTTTTAAATTCGTATGTCCGTTACGTTTACGGACACCAAAGAATTCTTTGACATATTCTAATATTATTATTAATATTGTATCACAAAAATATTCGTTTTTCTATGTTTAATACTTACACTCGCTTTCACAGAGAACCAAATAACGAACTGTCATCAACTGTCCTCTCTATTATTAATATGCAAAAAACAATCAAGCCACTTGGATTGCTTTTGCAGGCAGGTTACTTGCAGGTTACCAATTTAGTCGGTTGGTTCATTGGTTAACCAATAAACGCTAGTTACCAGAAGGTAACCTAGATCTTTTTTCGCAATAAAGATTACAGTCTAAAAATCACACATTTGTGAGTTGCTTTCTTTCTGCAGAAAGCCATCTAATTAGACATCAAGAAGGACAAAGGGTTCTCCGCCTATGGCCGGTATCGAATAGCAGTTAAATTTTGAGCTCCCGAAATAAATACAGTTAAAGCAAGAATTACATCTAATAAAATAATAAAAACGTGATACAGTTCTTATAGTGTTGTTTTGCAATAAGTTAGTGTAAAAAAAATAACTGAATCATGGTATTAACAAGAGAAACCCGCGAAGAAATTGAATTAGCGGTAAGCAAGGCTATTAAAAATGATTTGCTTATCAGTCAAATTGCAAAAAAAAGTAACAGAAGCAATAATACAAACAATGGAAAATAAGCTGCTAAATATCGAAACTTCAGTGGCGGAACTAAAAGAGGATTATGGTAAAATGAATACAAAAATTGAAGATAAAACGAAATATTTACAAAATAAAATAAATATACTTAGTGGTGAGAGAGACGAAATGGAGTCTAAAATTGATCAAATGGACCAAGCTACTAGATCTTCTAACTTAAGGGTTTTCAGTATGAAAGAGACCTCCAAAGAAGATACCAGAAAAGTCCTAATAGAAACTTTAAATAAAAATATGTCTCTAAATCTCATCGAAAGTGATATTCTATTGTGCTACAGAATTGGGAAAAGTGAACAAAAGAAAAGTAGAGGTGTTTTTTTAAAATTAAAAGATCTGGAAACTAAAAAAATGATATATAGCAAGAAAAAACTACTAAAGGGCACAGGAATCGTCATAAGAGAGGACCTTACTAGCTTACGAGTGAATTTGTTAAACGAGGCCATCAGAATACAAGGGTTAAAAAATGTATGGACAGAACATGGCAAAATCTACGTAAACAAGGACAGTAAAGTATATATTATAAGGAACAGAAATGATTTTAATACTGTATTTACAGCTGAATGAATATTTACTATTAAACTAAAACCAAAATAAAAAAAAATAAAAAAAAAATTCCTTTGCACCATCTTGCTTAAATGCTTAAAATTAAATTAATTCTAAATATATTGTTTGATTCTTTGTATTCTTCTTTCTGAAATTTATTTATCATCAATATTTCGTTATTTCCTATTTTAAGTAAAAAAAAAAAAAATAAATGAACATGTAATTTCTACAAATATTTAGGGTGCTCAATAGTTACATGATATGATAGAATTTTTAAACGTTTTAGACGATGAAGAGATTCAGACGGAATGCGTTAATAATTTCGAAGACTTTATACAGGGAAGGGTAGACAAAAACAGATATGGACTGGGAGTTGTTCACTTTAATATTAGAAGCTTACAAAAACATTTTAATGAGCTACTGGTATATGTTGAAATGGCTAAAGATATACTTGATGTAATTATATTATCAGAAACAGGTAAAATAAAAAATATTCATGATTTTTCTATTCCTCAGTTTTCAATTCACTACAATGAGGCAATATTTAACAAATGCGACGGTTCCATAATTTATGTAAGAAATAATATATCAGTGAATGTTAATATCGTACCTGTAAATGAAACCAAATTTCTTAGAGCTATTTTAACTTCTAGTAATTTGCCAAAAAATTGTAAAATTGGGCTTACCGCCTTCTATAGACTTCCGGCAACCGACTTAAATATGTATAAAATCAGAAAATAATGATAATATAAACAATAACAAAGAAAAAGCCGAAGAGTTTAATATTTTTTTTACAAATTTAGGTGAAAATATGGCAAATAAAATACATAAGGTAGTACCAGCAGTAAACTTTCTTAAAAATGATAAAGTTGAAAACAACATATTCTTTAAACCCGTAACAAAAAATGAAGTAACTATTTTAATAAGCAAATTAAAAAATAGCTCTGCACCTGGTCCAGATCAATTAACAGCAACTACAATAAAAAATATAAATGAATATATTATTCTTCCTGTAACGCATATCCTTAATATTTGCTTTCAATCAGGAAAAATTCCAAGTCAATAGAAGGAATCAATTGTCACACCTGTATACAAATCCGGAGACCCTAGTGAGCTTACACATTATAGGCCAATTTCTGTTATCAACAACTTCGCTAAAATTTTTGAAAATGCAGTAAAAAGTAGATTAATTAATTTTTTTCATAATCATAATGTTATTACAGATTGTCAATACGGTTTTATACAAAACTCAAGCACTGAAAATGCGGTAGTTGATTTTTTGGAAAAGACGGTTAACGCTGTAGATGAATCATTAAAATGTGCTGCAGTATTTCTTGATTTGGCCAAAGCATTTGATACCGTTTCCCATAACATTTTACTTGACAAACTAAATAACTATGGCATACGGGGTTTAGCATTAAGGCTCCTGAGGGATTATTTATCTAATAGAACCCAGAGCGTAAAAATTGGCAACACCGGAAGTTCTAAATCAGTAGTAAAGATGGGGGTCCCACAAGGAACACTATTGGGCCCAATTCTGTTTCTGGTTTATATGAACAACATTACACAAATTAATAACTTATCTGGGAATATCATATGCTATGCGGATGATACGGTAATTATTTTCGCTGGAAAAGAATGGGAAGAGGTTAAACTCGCTGGAGAAACGGCCCTAAGAAAGATAAGTTTATGGTTAAATAACAATCTACTAATTTTAAATGTATTGAAAACAAAATGCATTACTTTTAGTTCAACCATCGTTAATCTACCTAACAGCTTTTGTATAAAATTGCATAGTAGTGACTGTCAAAAAAGCGATTGTAACTGCCCCTTGATAGAAAAAGTTTCTCAAATTAAATACCTAGGTGTAATACTTGATCAATACATACGGTGGTCTGAGCATATTGTCCATGTTAGTAATAGACTGAGAGCCCTAATGCACACATTTTATGTTCTCCGGGACATTCTTTCAAAGAAAAATATAATGATACTTTATAACTCCCTAGTGGAATCTATATTAAGGTATTGCATAGTAGCATGGGGTGGAGCATTTAACACCACTATTAAAATTGTAGAGACAACACAAAATATTATTTTAAAAATTATCCTAAAAAAAGAGAGACTATTTTCTACAAATAAATTGTACGATGAATCGAACATACTAAACGTCAAATTACTCTTTGCTTATCAATGTATAATGAGAATATATACCAATGCTGAAAATTTTACTCAAAAAAATACCCGCTTAACACGCTCAGTCGCTAATATGGAGATTCCTGTACAATTTTTCAAAAAATCACTTAGTCAAAGGTCATTATCATTCTTTGGCCCAAAATTTTTTAACATAATTCCGATACACCTCAGGCAAATAATCAAAACAAAAAAGTTTAAAATTGAAATAAAAAAATATTTAATAACAAACAAAAAAAAATTTACGATCTAATGATAACATATTATAAATAAAAAACATATTAAAAGCCAAAAGGACCATCGTAGTTTTTGTCTACTTTTCCTAAGGTACTGTCTCTTGTTTATTTATCCTTTTATTTATCGGTTTATTCTGTCGAATTTCTTCGTCCCTTGTTCTAATTTTTAAATATTGTATCTTTTGTTAAGTAATAAATAATTATATGTAAAATTTAATACCTGTCTCTAAAAAAAATATGTACATAAATAGAGTCATCTGATTGATCAGAAGCAAAACAGGCAGAAATGCCTAGGTTCCATGCTCAATCAGATGTCTTTAAAGATTTTTTTTTCTGTATAACTATTTTTTTACTATTAGGTAATGTAATTTAATATTTAAACAAATAAATTTGGTTTGAATTTGATTTGAAATATGCAACCAAAAATACATACTCTAATAACATTGATTACTATTGAGCCGACCCTGTCACATCTATCGAAAAGACGACAACACAGTGTGCCGATCTCCCATTAGAAATATATTGCCTATATCTAGCCATACTGCATTTATACAAATTATACAGATCTACAGTCCACCCCGTTTCCAGCAAGGGCGGATCCAGCCTTTTAGTCAGGGGGGGTCACATCAGACCATCAGAGGCGTATCAAGAGGAAGAGGACATTTGCCCTCTCCCAAAGATGAAAAAAAAAAAAAGCAAAAAAGTCAAAAATATTTACTCAAAAAATCTATTAATATCAATTTAGTTGATATATAACTTGTAACAACTTGTAAGACCAACATTTTAATACTAACTTCAAATTAAATAACGAAATAAATTTTGCTCTTCTGCCTTCTCACGAAACGATTAATTACTTCTTTCACATCAACAGGAACGTTAGACGGTCTTCCGCCATTGATGCTTTCAACCAAGTTTTTAGCCTCCTAAGTGTGGAGAAGGACCTCTCTGCCATCGCTACCTGACTGGTAGTGTAGCAAGAATACACAGAAGCTTTTTTATGTTAGGATACATATCACCATCGCAATGCATTATCAGATCAGAAATCGTCTGCGGTATAGCCTGATCCCGTTTCCATTTTTCTGTCCACAGCCGATATTCGCTGATTATGACCGACACTGGCGTGTTGTCTCTTAGTGGTTTATAGGTTACGGCGAGATGTTTAATCGTTTCCATTTCCTCATTACTACAGGTATGATTAGCTTTTGCAATCAACACGCCAAGTTGGAATAAATCAAGTACCTCTGGAGATAACCGCTCTTGCAGATCATTTATTATGGAGTCCAGAAGAGGGATGTAGACGCTCCGGCGAAAATACTCCTCGGCTAATTGAGCTGGTTGATTATTAGCTCTATGTACTTGTCTTGACACTAATCTGGGGCATTTTATTTCAACGTTAAGTTGTTCGGCTAATTCTTTTGCTTCATCAAAAAGTTGTTGAAACACTGTGTTCACTTGTTCCCTTTTTTGTCTCAGAACACTCATTGTGTCGTTTATAGTCTCTGTAGCCCTCTTTAAATCAATCGAGCTGGTTTGTAATACTCTGCTCAAGGATAGGTACAGTTATACCTAAAAAAAAATAGTTATATTAAACTAAAATTTTAGCACGCTTTGATCGCTGTGTACCTACCTAAAACATCACTCAAGCAAATAGATGATATTATAAAGTCCGAACTGCGCAATGTTTGCAACAAGCAATGCGCATCATTAGCAATATTGTTGTCTTGCCAAGTAGCTTTTGTTGAATCGTCTAGATTTTTTCCTACATACCATCCAATATCTGAGGAAAATTTTGATTGAGAAAGCGAACTGTTTATTTGGTAAGAATTGGAAGTAGACGATACCGGCATGCATTGAACATCAGCAGAAATATATTTGTTTTCTTCTTCTAAGGTTAATTTTATTAATGGCGCATCGGCAGTACATACATTATCAATATTATCATATATGTTAGTGGTTACTATAGGGATATTTTTAGGATGTTTATCAATCTCAAGCCTTGGTTTTTTTTATAAAAATGAATCTATCTTTCTAAATAAACCACTAGCACTACATGCATTGTGCTTCATTTTTGAGCTACTACTACTACTACTACTACTACTACTACTACCACCACCAACATCTTTTTCGTTAGAATCACTCTGTAGGCAAAAATACCAATGTATAACTAAACAAAAATGGCAACACTTAAATAAATACATCAGTTCAGTTTCAGTAGGTACTATTCTGATGTTTGTGTTAGAAATAAAAAAAATGCATTCAAGAAAAAACATTTTTTAAATGTTATTGAGAAGATTGAAGATTTAAAATGTTGCTTGTTGCTTTTTTAATAAACCACAAGCGAAACACCATCTCCAGCAAGACAAGTTAAATGAAACAACTTTTAAGAACTCTTCTAGTCAGCTTCTATCTCATAAAGTACATAATGCAACCTGCAATCACGTTAAACAAGCGCGAAGACTGAGCGGAATGGTTGAACCACAGAGCTGAACTAACCTCTAACCTGCCGGATTGGTTCATCTCGACATAGAGCGGGGGTGGGATGGCGTTACTGTCAACTGTGACATCATCAAACATCGAAAGATTCGAAAGCTTGGCCGTGAACTAATAGAGATGGGAGATTAGATGGAGATGGCATGACCGGGCTGACGGACCACACGTCGCCGTAAAACTACAGCGTTTTTAATTGGTATAAAGTAGAAAATATGTTCAGATGTAAGCCTCCTGGGGGGGGGGGGGGGTCATGACCCCCATGACCCCCCTGGATCCGCCCTTGGTTTCCAGCTGACAGGAAAGACCTCTTACTTCGATGACAAAGATTTTTAAAAGAAAAATAAATCGACGTCATATGAAGACATGTACAAGCTCTCAAAATTATTTTTCAATTGACTTTAAATGGTGGACCCTTGATAAAAACAATAATAGTAAGGGCTTCCCTTGACAAAAACACTACTAGTGAGGTTATTAGTCTATTATTTTTGGAGTATTTTTATTTTGAATATATGTGTACTAATTTTATGATTTATAGGAACAGTCAAATACTAATGAAAAAGTCAGGTCAACAAAATTTGTTGTTTTCGACAAGCAACGGCCATTTTGGTCAATTCTGACAGGAATTAAATTGCCTATTTGTCTCTTGAGATATAGGCGTTATTTCGGGAAATTTTTTTGAAACAGGAGAAAACCTTCGATCTGTGGTTTATCTCCGTAACTAACCATTTGTAAAAGGGTTATTATATGGATTTCTTTTAAATGAACAAAGTATTTGATTTGAATTAAATGACACGTACAACACTGACAGCGATTAATGTCATACAGTTACAATTACGCGGCAAGTTATAAACCGTTTTAAATGAAACTAAGAGTGCCAACTATGAAGAATGATAACTTTTTGTCTTTTTTCGTCATTTTATAATATAAAATTGACGTGTTTTTGGTATTAATATTTATAAATATGCACAGTAATTGCGATACTGAATTTATTCCGTTTGGCTGTTACACACTGTATGATATAATTCAAACGCCTTATTACTGCTGAAATTTGTTACATTGGATTTCTATGGCACGCCTTTGGTAGCTCGCATACAAGTTACCTACTGTCATTACGGATAATGGGTATTGGCAGAAAGCTTTTATTGCTCTAACACCAGATCGTTTAGAGTGAGGCCAGGTGAAAATCCACAGCATAAATCTTAGAATGGAGTAAAGACTGATTTATGGTGCGCCTAACTGAACTTGAGTCTAAGCTATGACTTACATGCAGGGTAAATGCGGCTATTATTGCATTAGACCGGAACCGGTGCTATTTTGCTATCTTGTGTACCTACTTTGTATGTTATCGCATGAATAATTTATATTGATCATTTAAATTGGTAATAGGAATCAATATAATATTCTGCAAATCTTAACAATAATAAAATAAACACATTTTATCCAATAAATAATGGGGTTCCACGTGGATCGTTTTTGTTTGTACATAAAACAACTACCATGTCGATAAATTAGAATTCATTAAAAGTAAACATTGAGAAGATAAATTTACAAATATTTAAAATTAATTTGAATTAAATATAGGTACTTGCTATAAATAATAATAAAAGTAAATACTTACCATTTACTTCATTTATAAATAATTGGCCATTCCACTGAATATTGACAAAAACCACCAAATTCCAGAAACAATATCAGTAAAGTATTTAGAGATCGACATCTTAGGTGGGATTCTCAAATTATTACCATGCACTAATAAATTAAGGGAGTTTCAAATAAATTTAGATACTTTCGTGATTTCATGAACAGCAACTTTACTTACTCACTAGTACAATCATATCTTACCTAGGAAATTATGGAATGGAATGGGACTGCTGAAAGTCTTATAAAAAAATAAATACAATTCCAAATTTGTTATACGTATCAATTCAGTTAGCCTGTTGATGCAATAATTGGCATTATTATTAGTAAAATTTAAAGAATTACAACAAATTCAAAAAAGAATTTTTATTGTATTAACTAAAAACTCAAAAAGAAAACATACGTATTGAAATAAACCAAACAATTAAGTTATTATTTTAGTCAATATTTTACACTGAACTAGAGAATTATCCAATGCAGTAAGTTAACATTCTAACAGTTATACTGTAAAAAGTAATTTTGGGGTTAAACGGACTGTCGATAGTTGACACAGAGACTCGAGTAAGGGCCGTTGTACAGAACTCTTGCCGAAAGGCGAGACTCTCGTTGTTCCGGCCAAGGTCCAACACTTTAATGTCTAAAGTTTTGTGTAGCGATTTGTGTAATAGAGATAAATATCTTTAAATTATTTTAACATATTGTTTGGGTTTTGTTTTATAACAATTAATTTATTTATTTCTGTATAAATACCAATTGTTTCTAGTGATGCCGCGAGACGAGAGATTCTCGTCTCTCGTCTCGTCTTGTCTCGTCTCGAATGAGACGAGACATTTTCTCTTGAAAACAAATTCAAGACGAGACGAGAGAGTACCATCTCTCGACAAGAATTTATCGTTTCTTTCGAGCTCTCTCAGGCTCTCTCAAACAATTTTCTCTTTGCTTATTTAAAATTTTCAGTTGCATATCGTTACTTAAAATTTTGACATATTAGATTTCGAGATAGTCAAAAAGTTAACTATAACACACCTATTCTATATATATTAAATGGTAACAAATGATACATGTGTTATTAGGATTTTATTAATAGTGATTTTTAAGAAAAAATATTTCTCATTTCATTTATTTAAAATTTATACAATCGTTTCTTATGTTTAATCCATTCTGCTTTTCTGAGGTTACTTTTAAAGATAAGTTGAAAATTTTTGAGCGTTTTTTTGAAAATCTGTCAAAGAACAGGTAATATAAACGAATGTATTTTATACAGTGAGGACGAAAATTGTACCCTCCTCTATTTTAAACTCTAAATGAAAAAATTTAATGACAAAACAAAAACGAGGTAAAACTTAAAGATCATTACCGGAGGTATAATACCTTATAAATGCTGTTTTTTACAATAGCCTACAATAGATAATTAACATTTTAGCTAGTACAGAGTAAATGTCAGTATCTTTTATAAATTTAAGTAATTTTTTACTGTTAGAGAGATTTAAAACTGCACAAATGGCAATTTTTTGTACCTGGTACTTTATTCTTATACAGACATGTTCTGAGTCTTTACTCATATGTTACATTCTTGATAACTCGTATAAACAACCATTGTTTATTACTAAGGAAACGCTTCTTGTATTTACTAAAATAAATAAATTAAGAATATCAAAGGTGATTTAAAAACCACGTGATGTATTAAATTTTAGCTTATTAAAAAATTCTCTTCTAACATTTCTAGGATTACTGTGGCACACGAGGATTATCTAGAATGTAATTTTTGTAAAAGCAAAAAAAAGTAAAATTGTTTGCTTGGACGAAAATATCAAAATATCTTTCAAATGAGGTATTATATGACTTTACTTTCCATTAGAAAATTTAAAGATAGTAACGCCATCTATTTTACATCTTAAATAAAGTGCATCTCATTATAACAAAAATATCATAATATTTCTCTAATTTCAGATCGTTTTTGTTTTATGTCTCTATCTTCTTGCATTTTGAAAATATACTACAAAATGCTTTCATTTGACATCGCAGGATTTCATTAGAAAAATTCTAACTTCCAATTTAACCTCTCCCCCCCCCCTCTCCAACTGACTTACAAGACAAAGTATTTTCGTTTTTAGTTAACGCTTAATCTGGGCTACTTATTATTTCAAATTTCAATTGTAAAACGACTGTGACACACGAACAGACAGACAAGTGTTTCTTATTGCCAAATTTGGGTACTAATGCGCAAATTACTTAAAAAATTCTTTGTTTTTGTTTTACAAATTTTACCGTTTTTTCATGTTTCCTCTTTTTCAAATTTAAATTTGATATTGTTTTATCACGACGAGACGAGACAAGGCTCTCTCAGGCGAGAG